TTAATATATCATATATAATATAATATATATAATATATAATATTATATAAAATATATAATATATAATATATAATATAATATACAATATTTAATATAATATATAATATAATATATCTTATAATATAATATATAATATAAAATATATAATATAATATATAAGTTAATATATAATATATAATATATGATATGTAATATATAATATAATATGTAATATAAGATGTAATATAATATATAGTATAATATATAATATAATATATTATATAATATATAATATAATATAATATATAATATAATATATACTATAATATTTAATATAATATATAATACACAGTAATATATAATATACTATATAATATAATATGCAATATAATATGTAATATAATATATAATATTATTAATAATATATAATATAATATATAATATGATATTTAATATAATATATAATATAATATATAAAATGATATATAATATAATATAATATATAATATAATTTATACTATAATATATAATATAATATATAATATAATATATAATATAATATACAATATATAATATATAATATATAATATAATATATAAGTTAATATATAATATATAATATATGATATGTAATATATAATAGAATAGATAATATAAAATATAAAACAATATATAATATAATTTTTAATTTAATATATAGTATATATAATAGAATTTAATATAATGCAATATAATATAATATAATATAATGTAATATATTATGATACAATACAATATAATATAATAACCTATAGTATAATGTAGTATAATACAATATAATGTAATATAATATAATACAAGATAACATAACACAATATAATATGATATATTATCCCAGCAAGAGACCCCAAACAGTGTGTGGGATTGGGAGGATAATGCGTGATAATGCGTGATAATGTGGATGATGACGATGATGATGTTGATGATGATGATGATGACGATGACGACGACGATGACGATGTCGACGATGTCGACGATGTCGACGACGCCGATGATGATGATGATGATGCTGATGATGATGATGATGATGACGAACATGATAATGCGGAGGATGAAAAGGTGGATGATGATGATGTAGAGAAGAAGATGATGACGTCGAGGAGGATTATGTTGAGGAGGAAGACCGATCCCAAGATCGGGACCCACACTTTGCGCGAGCCAGCGCAGTCGAAATGCACGTGAGATTTCGCAAGGGCCACTTTATACGGAAATTTACACGGCAAATGCCGCGGCCCAGATTGAGCCCAGAAGGCAGACACACACTTTGTGCGAGCCTGTGCAGTTGAAACGCATGTCAAGATTTCAAAAAAGCCACGTTATATGGAAATTTACAGGACAAATGCCGCGGCCCAGCTGGATCCCACAAGCGGAACCCGCACTTTGTGTGAGCCTGCGCGATCCAAATCCACATCGACATTTCACAAGAGACATCAGAAGAGCCACTTTGCACGAAAAATTACAGGAAAAATGCCGCGCCCCAGATTGAGCCCAGAACGCAGACACACACACTTTGTGCGAGCGTGCGCAGTTGAAACGCATGTCAAGATTTCACAAGAGCAACTTTATGCAGAAATTTACAGGACAAATGCCGCGGCCCAGCTGGATCCCACAAGGGGGACCCGCACTTTGCGCGAGCCTGCGCGATCGAAATGCACATCAACATTTTACGAGAGACATCAGAAGAGCCACTTTAGACAGAAAGTTACAGGAAAAATGCCGCAGCCCAGATTGAGCCCAGAACGCGGACACACATTTTGTGCGAGCGTGCGCGCACCGGCCTTTACTCTTACGGTAAGAACCCCTCAGTGTGGACACGCTGTTTGGGGACAAATTAATATGTAATATATAATAGCTATTATTGTATATTTTCTAATGTATAGAATATTTGTTTTATTTCTATTTCTTTTATCTTTATAAATCAATAAATAAATAAATAAATATATATATAAATCATATAGTTTGTCAATAATAATAATAATTACTATGATATATATATATATCAAATATAATAATCACACATGATATATGATATATTATGCTTGAACAGATAAATGTAATTATATATATATATATATGTTTAGTTTAATATTATATATGTAGTTTTTTTTTTAATTGTATATACTTTAGAAAAAACTAATATATATATATATTTATGTATATATTATATGACTATTATATATAAAACATTACAGTATAATAAATAATATATATATATATGTAACAAATATTGAATTTTTTAATTATATTCCATATAAGAGACATATATGTATATCATATATATATATATATATATTCATATATTATTAATATAATATAATAACTGTTAATATATATATATACATACATGAATATAAATATATATATATATATCATGCAATCCACATATATATATATTTAATATGTAATATGTATAATATATATATGTAATACATTCTATTTATATATGTAACATATACATATATAACAACATATTTGATATATGACAAATGTCTTGGGGAAAACTTGCTGTAACCGGTTGGTTGGTGGGTCATTTTGATGAAGGAGACTTGACCTTTGCTTATATAAAGGGTAGATAGGACAGCGAGCCGTGCTTTGATGTCTTGTTCCAGCCAACAGGGGTACTCGGGTTTGTCTGAAAATAAGCCACCCCAATTCTGATGGTGAATCATCATTTTCTCATGGCGATTTCGAGGTACTGGCATGCCCGATCGACAGACCCACTCCTACCCTTCCAAGCACCTAATATTGTTTGCGGAGGTTTTCTTTTCGATCTGAAAACCACCAAAAGTGATGAGTGTCAATTTCAGAAAGCAACGGACTTGATTTTTTTGGTCTTCCACAACCATTCAACATACACATGAACCAATCAACATAAAGGATTGCCATCAGCTTCGGGACACCCAGTTTGATCATATATCCGAGGTTTCCACAAAAATTGACCCTGAACCTGAAGTGCGATATCATTTTTTTTCAATCCCAAAAGTCGAATGCATCTTACCGTCCCATCGACTTTATGTTGGCCCTGAGAGCCAATCTTTAGAGGAAAATTGTCTTCCACCTTGGCAGGGTCCATCATCGGTGAGTTTTGGGGGATGGTGCTGTCTCAACTGAGCCATCAAAGATACCCACTGTTTATTGGTTATGAAATAGCAGGTTATTAACCTACCTGGTTTGTGGGGGGTTTATGAACTGACTCATGAACTGGGAATGAGATTCTTCACCAAGAATGAGGTTTTTTTTTCATGTCTAAATTTTGTGATTCCCCACATGGTTGATCATCATTTTTCCATTAACCAACCAGAAATCGAGCGCTCATTTCAGAAAACACTCAGTGAATAGCATCTTGTGAAGGTCCTCCCTGAATCAAGAGGAACTGCACCTGGAAGCTGTCCAACACGCGTTCAATACTAAGATGGTCCAATGACTTGGATGATTTGGGGTACGGTACCCCCATTTCCAGGAAACCTCACGTGTTGGACCACATTTTTGATGATAGAACTGTCCTCAACAAGATTGCAACTTGAACAGTCCCTGACCGGAGTGTACCCACCAAATATACACCTATCCCGTTGATATCCTCATTCTTGTTGATCGATATCAACCAAAATATCGGGGCCACTGAGACCAACACTCAGATACTATGAACTTCTGGAATGGTTCGGAGTTCGTATGGGAAGATCTATGAACACCATTGGGCTTTCATCTTCTTGTTTTTCCTGATATCTCTCAACCTTTTGATGGTTCTGAAAAGCATGCTATACATATTTGGCTCCTCAACTGCAACAGTGGCCTTGGTCGGGTTCCATTTACAAAGATGCGGGTGTATTGCCTTAAACTCTCTGCTTGTTGCTATTCGCCTAGATTTCAGATCTGTCCCTTCAAAATGGCTTGAAAAGTCTTTGACCTGGATGGATTTCACAAGTTCTCCAGATTCTCCACAGATTCTTCAATCATTCTCACACCACCCACGTCATGACATAGGGTGCCACAAACACGGCTTGGATCTCGGAGATTTCAGGTGTGTGGCTGAAACATCTGTTGATCACGGGTCCCAAGACCCAGCTGCGTAGGGCTGTTGGTGGCTAGAAACATGGCTATGGCTTAAAGCAAAAGATAGATTTTGGCAAAATTTTACTAAGTGGATGTTTGCTAAAATGGGGGTACCCCCAAATCACCCCAATCTCGTTCATTTTCGTTTTGAAACCCATGGTGACTTGGGGCTTCCCCATTTTAAGAAACACCCAAGTGATGATTCTACTTTCCTATCTTTTCTTTTAGGGTATGGCTTAGAACTTCTGGGCCCAATTTTTGCGAGGATGAAGATCCAGTATCAAAGGGGAATCAAAATCAGCAGCCTCATTGACAAAAGTTGGGTGTTTTCATTTGGAGGATTCATAACTTATCTAACCAACCACATCTTGTGATAGAATCAACAATCTTTGATCGATATACACACTATATACAATTATACATATACATGTAATGTATATATATAGTCATAGTAATAATATGTAATAATAACAATAGTAATATTCACAATAGCAATAACAATAGTAGTAATAATAATAATAACCAACGACGTACCCTCCTGGAATTGAACAGTTTGCAGGTGATCTGAACCTTTCGCCACGACAATCAATTACATGAAAACGTGGTTGCACGTCCTCTACGCCCTTTACGTGCAGTGTTGCTGAATCTCAAGTGGCGACATGGAGTGATCATGGCACTTGGATTGTGCAAGTCTTTCGCAGCCCCAAATGGCAAATTCCAACCCAACTGAGCTACAATGCGTGGGTGACTTCATCCCCCTGCCGCCAGGCCAGCCAGAAGGCTTCCTTGAAGGCTCACGCGGGCCGGCGCATGGCGCAGAAGTGGCCGTATTACCGACGGAATTGGGAAACACAACCAGCTATGATTTTAATTGGAGAAGGGGGGAACATGGGGGAACCTTCTTCTACACACGTTTTTTTTTGGCAAAGTCTTCTGTTCCTAATTGCTGAAAAGCTTCTTTGACACCGGACATCAGCGTGACATGTAGCTGAAAGATGTTGGCACTTCATGAAATCTTTGTTTGAAAACTTACCATTTACCCTTGGGCCATCTACCCTGGCGATGGGAAATCCCGATTTTCAATGGGAAAACGAGGAAAATCATGTGCAGAAACATTTTTTTCCCATTGCTAGGTGAAGTTGCTCCCAAACATCTCACTTGGATGCATTTTTTCAGACCCAAACCGTGCTTGGCGCGCTTCAAATATATCGATTTGCTTGCCAAACCCACATGAGGAAGGTGGGTCAAGCAACCATTGGACGGCCCTTCTCGGCTCAATTTCTTGTGCGAGGTTGCTAGTTTCTTGGTGGTTGAAAATATCGATGACAATGAAGCTGTAACAAAAATATGCGCCGAACAACACCCGGTCAGCTGAGGCAAAACTTTTGCGTCGCCAGTCAGTTGACTTTCGGAGTTACCAAATCAAATTCAAACCCGCCAGTTCTATCCGAATCATCAGCGTTTTTCTTTACAAGACGATGAGAAAAACCTTTGGGGCTGCAGACAAGTCAAATTCATTGGAACAAAACATTTGCTAAAGTATACTCCAAGAACCCGGTAGTCATCCCAAAATGATCTTTGTGATTCTAGCACAATTGGTTGCTATGAAACGTAGCCGAAGTAGACAAAATTGGCATTTTGCCTGGGTCCCGCTGTGCTTTGACCAGACCACCTCCTTCGTCTCACCATGGCTCTTCCCTCGTCGGCGGAGACGGATGGCATGCCCGAGGTCATTGTCACAGGCACAATCCAACAAAAAAGGAGGATTCATGGTAATTTATGGGAAACATGGGAAATTTATGGGAGAAACCTCCAGGGAATTTCCAGTTGAAAGAATAGAAACTTGATGTTGGGTTCAGGCCTGAACTTGAACCAAAGATAATCAAAGCAAATATCTGCCAAAAGTGGGCACATATGGATCCAAGGATGGGAATTGGACCTTTTTCGATCCTTTTGTTGAAAATGACTAAAACATCTGTGGTCGTACATATGCTTTGTGCTTTTGGGACATACCCCATTGATAAAACGGAAAAAATAGGGGATTCGGAGAAATCACATCTTGCTGGGGCCGCTTCATGAGGATCTTGTTGAACCCCAGCTTGCTAAATGGAGTTTTCGACAATCATGCGGGAGAAATTGATAAAATACATCTGGAGAATCGTGTTTTCAAGCACCTACATCATATGTATTTAATAACACATTTTTGCTAGGAATGCAACCTTTTTTTTTTTGGTTGCTTTTACTAGTAGACCCAATGTTAATACCTTCCAAACGGTTAAACCTTGTTCAGTAGCTGCCTTGTCTAGTACCGGCTTGGGAATGGAGATATCACCGATGAACCTGCAGCTCTTGCCGTCTTGCCCAGGTCGAAACTGATTTACAAGAACTCTTTTGGGGAAAAAAACATGACCCTCTCGTAATTTAACGGTTTGCTATTGAAAATACCACATTTATAGTTGATCTACCTCGTAATTTAACGGTTTGCTATTGAAAATACCACATTTATAGTTGATCTACCCATTCATAGCATGGTGGATCTTTCCATAGTTATGTTAGCCCGTTTACCAGAGGGATATTCCCATGGGATTCAATTTGGTTCCCAAATTTTCGGACACTTTTCCATGATCCGGCCGGAGATGTTCAAAGCATCCCATGACTAGAAATGGATGTTATAGACCATCCCCAAATGGTGGGTTTATGGCATTGGGTTTACACAAGTAGTCTACAGACGTCTACGGTTATTGGTGTTCCGACGCGGCAGTTAAGACAGTAGTCTACGTTGATCCATTCGGCCTGGCAGGCACAGAGGGAAATTTCACGTTGAACGTGCACGATGCTTGGCGTGTCTTCATCTTGTTTTCGAACGTGAAGAGCCCCCTTGCTGTATTGGGATAGATTTTGGGGTGCTGATATGTGCTGATTTCGGCAGGAGAAACCACACTCGAGCACTTTTTGCGACACTGCACTTCCCATTCAGACTTTGATCACCTCTTCACGCGCTGAGGAAGACATGAAAGGGAAAGAGTTGTTGAACCGGGTTCGAGATCGACTTCCGGTGAAGCCGAAGTTGATGGTCGTGCTCTGGACCGAAAGTGATCTTCAGGCCGGAGGGACCCGGAAAGGATCAAACTAGAGGATGTCGTCGTTTATGGTTGATGAATTTTCATCCATGTTCATCAATTTTCCAGATTTTCTGAAAGATCTGATTTCCATGTTGGGTCCAAGATCTTCCGAGAAAGCCAGGGATTGCCCGGAATCAGCTGAGAGCTGGTTGAAGGGTGCAGTGGCCTCATATTCCGATAGAGGGTGATGAAGGATTTAATGCAGACATCAATGGTGAAATCCCAGACACACACACTGCTGACCCACCTACATTCATAGCTCCATAGCAAAATCCCATGTTACCATCATTGAATCATAGACCTCCATGATAGTTGTAACATTTACACGTAAATGTTGATTCTATGGATACAACGTATGCGTTAAAATCTGAAAGGTTGTTCCCCCTAAGTAGCTAAGTTGGTAAACAGAACTCGGTGAATTCTAGGGTTTATGGTATATATAGCGAACTAGTTGATGGGGGGAACCTTCTTTAAATGTTTTCATAGATGCAACAAAAAACTCTGTAGAATATTTTCCTAGGGTTTCCCATAGGTGGTCTAGATATTTTTGTATGTTTAACCTAGGGTAAGTGGGGGGCGCACCACCAAACGTAGCCCCACCTGTGCGTCTGCCCTTTGCAGGTCATAGGAAATCAAACGCTCAAAGAGCAGGGCCTAGGCACGGCCGGAAAAATCATTTTTACCCTCTGGTAATTTACCGGGTAAATGGGGTTTACCATAGGAAAATGGAGGTTTTAATGGGAAAACCATAGGAAAACCATAGGAAAATGGAGGTTTACCCTCTGGTAAACTAACATAACTATGGAAAAGTCACCATGCTATTAACAGAGGGTATCATCAATTTCTATGGGGCCATGACTTCCTATTCGCAGTGAAATCATCAGAGCATAGTTGAACATGACGATTGGGTTTTATCCTGAAAGTCTATCCATGCCCCAAGTTTGGAAAAAACCAGATGGGTCAAAACTTATGGTTCAGGGGACCAGACATTTTGCTGAAAATCAAGAACCTATTTTTGGGTACATTTCTTTTCCCAAATCCACTGGAAGTTTCCAACCATTTTCGGTGGTTGAAGAGTTGAAACCGGTTTGGCCAAAATTCACATAACAACCTCACCAGAAATTGCCTCGACTTGGGGTTAATCATCACCTTTAGGACCGGAAACATTTTTTTGATGGTGACATGGGAATGGGTCAGAGTCATTTGTTACCTTACCACAGAAGCAGCTCCAAAAGCAAGGACGGGGTATTTCTCAGTTCGAAGGCTCCCCGCAATTTTCACATTTCTTGGTTTGTAAGCCCATCTAGCTATAGGTATCTATAGGTGTATTTGCCAGAAGTCTTAGCCTATATTACCTGGTTGGTGGTTTGGAACAGGAATTTTATTTTTCCATTCAGTTGGGAATGTCATCATCCCAACTGACGAACTCCATCATTTTCCGAGATGGTTATTACACCACCAACCAGTATATATATATGGAAAACCTCTGGTATATATATATAATTATATATATATAGGTGTATTTACCAACGATAGGTGTATTTGCCATCTAGCTATAGGTATCTATATTACCAACTATAAATCAACTCATCTATTCTTTGGGGGTTGCCATCCCAGGATGGGATCTGGGTCGATTTTTGGGAATCCAGGGGTCCAAAGAGTCAAAGCAACGGCGCTTCTTTTCACAAAATGCGTCTATGTCCTCTTTTGGAATCCTACGTTGTTTTTGATGATGTAAACTCTCTTGTTCTATTGAATCTATTTCTTGCGTATTTGTTGATTCTAAATATGAAGTCATTTCACATGTTGCCAAAATAGGCTCTCTTCCTCTCTCCATCTATCCGCCAGTTCGGTGGCGCCTCTCGGTAATGAATGTTGGTTTATAAATTCATCTGACAACTGACAAAGCTACCATAAAATCCGATCCTTGGAGTTATAAACCACCAACCACCTATCATAAATCACATAGAAAACCTCTTTTTTTGTTGGTTAAATCCTGGTTTTGGCTGGACGAGTGGCACACCAGGCGCCGGTGCGGCGCAGTTGTCCTACTCCTACCGGCCCGCTGATCTGACTCTTGCCTTTGGGGGCAACATCTGTGGGAAATGGATACCATGGTGATTTTCCATAGTTATACTTAGTTTACCAGAGGGTATGGGGATCAATCTCCCTATTTTTCATGATTTTCATGGGTCAATGTCAATGTATGGGGAAATCGAATTTTCCTAAATCCACCATTTCTTCAGAAACGCATCTATCATTGGGAAATGGATTTCCATCTTTTTTTGATCAACACTTTTTCTTGAACATCGTTCTTTTTTCCGGGAAGCCCCTGGCAAAACAGCAACATAGTATCTGGTGGCAAGAGGAAGAAACCCCTTCCGAGCAAGGGATTGATTGCCATAATCTGTAATGAGAACTCCTGTTCACCTTGCAGTATTGGCGACAGAGGACAAAGGGGTTTCATGGAGCGTTCCGCCAAGTTTTCGCGATTCCAAAGGAAGGAACCGTGGTGCCAAGAACATGAGAGAAGAGCTTTGAGCCAGGGAACAAAGAATCATGAGGATAGAAGACTTGGTGGTTCATCTCAGTTAGTAAGTGGATCATAACCCAAGTTCCAAATGGGGTAAGTAGGGTTAGTCCAGTTGGAATTGGGGTTACAACCCACTTACAGTAATTCGGATGAACCACCAAGCAGAAGCAATAAAACTGGAGAAACAGACTGGTTGGTGGGTTCGCGCCCAATGAACGGCCCAAAGAAATGGAACCCTTTCAGATAGACGGCCAGCCTGATCGAGCTTGCCATTGTTGCTGCGTGATTTTTTGTCTCTATCTATTGTTGAGATATTTTATCCTGCTAAAAAACCGTGCAAATGCGGGACATCAACCATAAACAACTCCCATTTGGGGATGGTAAACATACACATACCAACCATAAAAAGATTTTTTTTTTTAATGTTTTTATTTTTTAAACCCACGTGGGGATTGGTCAGCAAAAACCAACTTTGGCACCAACATGTTGGCGATGGTCCAACTTGGACTTGTTGCCGAACTCTTCAGGTGGCATGCCTTTAAGATCCTAGAGGGTGAGGCATCGGTGATGTGGCGTACCGGGGTGATGTCTTTGGAGCACTATGGCGGGCGGGCTTAGGGGGACGCGTTGATGAGTAATTTTCAGACCATGAGTCCATCTCAATCGCAACTGGTCGGAAGTTTCCCAAGCTATGCATAGCTGGCATCGTTGATGGCTTGGATGTCACCAGGCAGGTTTCATCATTTCTTTCCGTTAAACTATCGCGCATTTATACCAGTAGTACCGCACAAGGCGGTGGCGGAAGTTTCAACAATAGGAAACCTATAGGAGAGGTAAGTTGTGGTGATGCATGGATGGCAGAGCGAACCCACTGATGAACCGAAACGTGGTTGAGGCTCTGAGTCTCTCTCTCCCTCTCCCTCTCCCTCTCCCTCTCCCTCTCCCCTCTCCTCTCCCTCTCTCTCTCTCTCCCCTCCCTCCCTCCCTGCCTCCCTCTCTCTCTCTCTCTATATATCTCTCTATATATCTCTCTCTGTATATATATATATATATCTCTCTCTAGATATATCTCTCTCTATATATCTCTCTATACATCTCTCTATATCTCTCTCTCTATATCTCTCTCTATATCTCTCTCTATATCTCTCTCTATATATCTCTCTCTCTCTATATCTCTCTCTCTCTATCCATAAGTATCTCTCTCTCTCTCTATATATATACATATATATATATATCTCTCTCTCTCTCTCTCTCCCTCTCTATCTCTCTATCTCTCTATCTCTCTATCTCTCTATCTCTCTATCTCTCTATCTCTCTATCTCTCTATCTCTCTATCTCTCTATCTCTCTATGTCTCTATCTCTGTATCTCTCTATCTATCTATGTATCTACCTACCTACCTATCTATCTATCTATCTTTCTATCTATCAATCTATCAATCTATCAATCTATCAATCTATCTATCTATCTACCTACCTATCTATCTATCTATCCATCTATCTATCCATCCATTTATCTGCAAAATGGAAGTTCGCAGCTTCAAAACGAAGAAATCCTGCAAGAATTCCTCAAAACCTCGAAGTTGACAACATCAAAAGCGAAGCAATGAAAAGTTGAGTGTAGAGCCGACGGCTTCGTGCCGATGCGTTTTGCGATTTTGCCCATCCCATCTGTGTAAATCACTGCACCTGCCACGAAAAAGTGAAGCCAGGTCATACAAACTGCTGTACCTGTGCTGCAAAATCATCTTAGCAAACATGAGGATCTGACGCTACAGTTTAACCTGTCTGACGAAATCTGCTCCCGGACCTCCGAACATGTCTGATGGAGATATCTTTTGTATTCTTTTGTATTGCGCCTGTTGCGCGACATGCATCGCTGCACATTCTCTTCAGATGTCCCGCACCTGCCATCGGTTTTGAAACTGCTACAAAACCCTCACGTTTCACACAATTTTGTGAAGGTGCAAATTCCATTGCGCATGCCACGAAAAATGTCAATGGAACATCCAAACGCGGTGCGAATATTGTGTGTCTGAAAGTTTTTAACATTTTGACCTCGACATTCGACACGTGCTTCGCGCCACAGCAGCGTGCACGTTTTCGACATCTCAGCTGCCAAAAGTGCTCCGACGCTAAGGTATTTTTGACATTTTGACTTTGAAATGTGCTTCGTGCCACAGCTGCGTGCAATTTTTCAGCAGTTCAATACTTCGAAATGTGCTTCGCACCACAGCCGCGCGCACTTTTTCAACAGCTTAAGTTCCAAAAGTGCTCAGACTATGAGGTGTTTTTGACCTTTTCACTTGAAAATATGTTTCGCACCACAGCAGCCTGCAATTTTTGATCTCTCATCCGACCAGATGGCTCCGCACCCATTGCTTTAGCGAGCCTACTTCTCGACCCTCAGGGGTTACACAACATAGGCAAAACACAGTGTTTTGCGCGCTTTGCTATTCTTTTGTGTTTGTCTCTCTCTCTCTCTCTCTCGCTATCTCTCCCTCTCTCTCTCTATCTCTCTTTTCTTTGACTCTTCACACTTTGATCTTCTTTCTTCTTGCTCCCTCTTCTCTGACTCTTCCCACCACTGTTGCCGCATCTGTCCAAAAGTCGGAAATTTGAATTCCAAACTTCCTTCACCTGTTGCTATGTGGCCACTTTAAGCCTTTCAAACGCGCATGTAAACATTCGGTAGATTGAATTTTCTGCTTAAAAAAATCCAACGGGCACAGGCACGGAAAACCAATTGCTTTAAGTTTTCGCAGGAAGTCATCTAAACTG